GTCGAAATGCTGAATCAATTCATTCACTTCCAACAGCGCTTAGTGGGAGCAGCGTCATAGAGGGCAGAGCGGCACGTTATTTAAAGGGGACGTTAACGCGTTAACGAGCAGCAAATGATTAAGTAGCTGCATTGGTTACTTTTATGCCACTGATAAATCTTGTAAATGCAGTTTGGGGTAACAAAGGGGTTTTATAGGTTTGACTGAAATAATAATGCAATAACTGACACTTTAAAACAATGTTTCAAGAAAATAATTAAACAAAAAAAAAGACAAAAAAGTAGCCATTGATAATATCAAAACAATATGTAGTAGTATAGTATATAGTATCCAAATCAAAATGTAATAAAATTAATTTATGTGTGGTTTATGTGTAAATTCTGTGCAACGTCTTAGCCACTAGGGATTGTTACATATGGCTATACAGGCATCTAGTGGCAACACAATGATATTACAGATATTAAATTGTGCAAAATGTTTATCTTAACAGTCAATTTACAAATAATGCATTCAGATTTATGGAACTCAATGCACTGAATCTCCACAAATTAGTGTTGTTGCTATGACAACCTATTTGAATGTGACAAGCAACTGGTGTCTGAAAATAATTATATATATATATATACAATTTTTGGGTCGGGGTGCAATAGGGATTTTGCCTAGGGCGTCAATTTGGCTAGAAACGGCCCTGCTTACTAACATAGGTATAGCTATCTACAGGCAAACACACCCCACGCCACTTTTTGCAACATCTCGCGGCACGCATGGATGTACCTAAAGAAACCTCTCCATTTGATAACAGATTCGTTGGTCTGTGTTAAGAAAAACTACACAAGGGTGGATTAGAACCCAGAACCTCGGAGATGCTTGACAAAAGTTCTACCACCAGACCACTAAAGCACACATATATACTTTAGGCAAATTTATTTATTCAGTTCTGTGAAGAATCTCGGTGCTAATTGTATTTTATTATTAATATGTTTATTATTAATTTATATTAATTTAGTCGCTTGCAATGTGGGCAGGAAGTGCACAGGTGGAGTAGAGAAGCAAAACTACTGTTCAGTGTTTCAAGTAGGCTACAGATCAGTTTCATCTGTAAATATGTGTGGCCGTGTGAATGTTTAAACTCTTAAAGAAACTCAAACACTGCCAAGTATCTAAACTAGGGGTTCTTTATTTCCGACCGCGTATGCAGAGGACGCGGCATTAATACTCAAGGTTTTCCATGAAGGGGAGTTGTGCCGATGAAATGTATACAGTGAAGAATAAACACAACCAAGACAAGCTTCCCCAAAGGTATAAAGAAACAAACCAAAAATATAAGCACTTCAAATAGTGCTCACAGTTACCGAAATAACTTCAGGCCAGTTTCGCCAATTCCCCTTTTTTCCCTTTACCAAGATAGCCCCACAGTAACAAAAAAAAGTAAAATAAAATAAATTAATAAATTAAACACAGTACAAATAAATTGGTGTGAGCACTTAACCCCCTGGATAAACAACGGTAGTGGCTTATAATGCTTTCTAAAGGAAGAACAAACATAGAATATAATCAAATATACATTCTCATCAGCCACTTATAACTATTGACTAAATGAATTCAAGTAAATCCATTTTACACTCCGTACATCTCTATTAACATTGTTATTACTATCTTCTTCTCCAAGAACAGATTATTAATGAATTCAAATTAACATTGACATCAAAACAGTAAACAACTGGTGACCATTTTCTCTGAGTATACATATACATTTTCCAAAACCGGATGAAATCAATATTACTCACTCTGTGGCGTGCTGCGTCACATTAGAAATTCACCCAGCTGTCACCTCACATGCACCTTCACGTGCCTTCGTTCTCCCCTCTAGTATTATTTTATTAAAGGAGAAAGAAGTTTGGTTTACTTTCCCTTCCACTTCACAACATAAATGGCATGTCCTGAACTCAACGTTCACATTAAATGTCACTCACGCTCGATTTCCGCAGCCTGCACGATTCCTCTACGCAGATATTTCTCTTAATACGAAATCTGTGTGATCGCAGACTGCTCCAAACTGCTCAGCGACCAGACCAACACCCAACCGAGGAATTCCCATTTTTTCCCTGTCCAAACAACAGACGGTGTTGGCTTCCAGTCCACGCACTTCAACTCACTCGTGTCCGGGATGCCTCAATCATAAAAACCGTTCCCCCGAAATAAAACACTCTCTTTCTTTTCATTTTTCTCACTGTGCTGCTCAGATGCACGGGAGTGCCCCCTAATGACGTATAGGCATGACCGCTGGCAATTCTTATGATGACTACTCTTTGTTCCCCGGCAACCCTCTCCCCTGCCATAAGTCAACGTCCGCGTGGACTTCCCTTTTTACCCGTCCACAGTACTTTTTAGTTTTTCAGATGTATACATTACCATGCCGGCCAACACTTGAGACAAAATGTCTGGGCTGAAGGAGACTGCATTGCAAACTGACTTAGGCAGGCTGTATGGGTTACCGTGCTTACCCGCAGTCTGCCTTTGTGACCGACGTGGCGCCGGGGCGGGTACTCTAGGCTCAACCGGGGCCGCCAAATTACTTCTTTGAGCAGGGACTGGACGCTTCTCAACAGTATCCAGACCCATGCCACCCCCATGCCATCACCTCCTTCATCTACACTCTTCTCCAATGCAGTCAATGTCTCCTCAACACTCTCTTGTTCTTCAATCTCAGGTGCAATCAAATCCTTTACCTGGGAACTGGGTCGTTTCATACATTCATCTGCTGAAGGCACTGATTGCCCTGTCGCAGTACGCCAAGTCTCCTCCACAACTACACACTCAATGTCAGTAGGAGCTGATATTTCCTCATGCAAATGACTAACAACTTCTTTTGCAAAGCTTACTTTCCTACGCGGTGCTGGCACTGGGGTTGGTTGTGGACAAGGTTGAAGGTGAGACCGATGGACCCTTTTTTCCACACCGCCTCCATCTGGTTCCACCACATAGGTAGTTCCCTGAACATTCTTCACCACGTACACCTGTGGTGCCCACACATCCTGAATTTTATTTCTCCCTGCCGGACGGTGCCTCAAGTAAACTTGCTGTCCAACTGCAATCTCCGGGCAATATACCTCTCTCTTATGCCGTTCAGTCCGTTCCGCTGCTTTTCTTTCTGCATACTCTCTCGCTCTAGCATGAGCATCCTGGAGTCGCTCCCGGTGAACAGACAACCAGTTGGTTTCCATACCTTCCTCAGACTCCCGTCCCAACAAAGCATCAACTGGAAGGTGCGGTTGTGTACCAAACAACATATAATACAGGGAGTATCCCGTGGAGGAGTGGGGCGTCACGTTATAAGCATACACTAATTCCGGCAAGTGTTCAGGCCATCTCTTCTTCTTGTCGGAGGGTAGCGAGCGCAACAGGTCATGTAGAGTGCGGTTAAACCACTCACAGTGGGGATTCCCTTGCGGATGTATGGGGTTGTCCTCGACTTTCGCACCCCATACAACCCGCAAAGTTCCGCAATGACTGCGCTCTCAAAGTTTCTCCCCTGGTCGGAGTGCAGTCTCTGCGGCACCCTGTACTTGAGAAACCACTCTTTCAGGAGCACCTTGGCGGTGGTATCTGCCTTCTGGTCACGTGTGGGGAACGCCTGACAAAACTTAGTGAAGACATCCGTCACCACCAGAACGTTTTCTCGACCATCAGAGGCAGGCTCCAGAGTGGTAAAATCAACAGCGACCACCTCCAGTGGTTGGGAAGCCAGAAAAGGGGTCCAGGAAACCCGAATCTTAGGCTGCGGCAACTTAGCAAG